ATCCGGATGGTGCTTCCATAGTCTTCTTGGTTAAGATTCGCCATTGCTGCCGACATTTCATCAAGTGTCTTCTGATATTCCCCGATCTCCACCTCCATCTTATTCTTCTCTTTGATCACGGCGCGAAAATCTGCACTGGTGGGTGATTTTGACCTCCCACCCTTCGATGTCGATCTCACGCCCTTCTGCGACGTCCGTGGTGTCGCAGGCGAAGATGATGATCTTCTCGGTGGGGATTCTCTTTTCTTCGACTCCTGATGAACATCGATCTGCTTCCATGATCTTGTGGGAGTAGATATGTCGCTGAATAGCGCGGAACCTCCGCTCCCAGGTTCATCCTGTGAATCCGCAACCATATCCATCACCGCAGGAAGAGCCATCAATCCATTTGATCCCTCTGAGCTGCTGTTCCCAAAAGTTGCAGTACTTGGGCTCGCCGAAGACGCCATTGTACTGTGTAGGTTATCGTTCCTTTATTGTCCCTGTACCCGCAATAAACCAGCTGTCTCCCAGTCCAGTGTAGAGCTTGTAGTTACGGCTGATAACCTGTCAAGAGACGGCAAGGTGACGTCCCGTGGGACGCTATGCACCGAACCCTCAAGCTGTAATACCAACCACGTAGAAAGGTGTATACGGACGATGCCGTTATAGCCGAACCCGTGTAAACGTTGTAAGGGAGAAGGAATGATAGTTACAACAGTAGTCCTGACAATGCAGCGCAAGCAGTTGTTTTCGCTCTCAATGCCGATCACGTAGGTATGCAGTCACACATCAGATCTTGAACCTCAATTGTGTCTTGAGCCAAATGGCGATCAATGGAACTTGGGAAGCAACACCAACAAGGACCTCAGAACAGCTACCCAATTTCGGCACGGGGCCTAGAGGGTTTTAACACAAGCAGAAGGGCTGTGGCCGCACCGCGCAAAACCACCAAATTTTCGCAGAATCCACATTTGCTGAATGATAACCTCTGAGGATGCGCTGCGAGCGGTTCACAAATAACAGAGAGAGGTGGTGCAAGCGCGGCCGGTGAAAGTGATGATGGCCGCAGTCAAAGGGGACTTGGCCGCAGGGTCCGCCAGAGCCGCAGGTCCAGGTCCAGGTCCAGGTCTTGGCGGCGCCGCAGCAGCAGGAGTGACAGCCGCTCAAACCGCAATTTGAATACTCGCGACAAGCGCCGTTACAAGATTACGGACAAGAGGTCAAGTAGTAAGGAAAGGGATACTACCCTAATTCATTTGGATTTTTGGTCCCAAAACCCTGCAAAACAGCCAAATTCTTCAACCCGCTGAACGTTTTTCCGATGTCACCGGTCTTTGTCACCACTCCGTTTTTGGTGCAAAAAGCGCTGAAAACGGCGAACTCCGAAAAGTGCGTTTTTCGTGTCCTGCGTCAAAAGTGCTGCCTGGGCCTCCAAATTCGCTCGTTTTTCCTCCGAAAACCGGTTCCAGGTGTTCGCCATGCTCCGAAATCCGTTTTCTGCCTCGAAAAACCTGCGAATTCCAGCCCGCTGAGCTTGTCACCGCCGAAGTCACCGGTCTCTAACACGTCAGCCCGCCGAGGCACAGCACAGAGTCAGCCAGCGTCTGACGCGGCAGCCCGCCGAGGTGCTCCCGAGTAACACGTCAGCCTGCCGAGGTTCTTCCACGTAACGCGTCAGCCCGCTGAACTCGTCACCGCCGAAGTCACCGGTCTCTAACGCGTCAGCCCGCCAAGGTGCCGGGGAGGAATCGAACCTCCGAAACGTCGCTACGGAGAGCAACGCCTTAGCCATCTCACCATAGGCTCTCGTGCCCTAAAGAGTCAATAATGGAACCGGGCGATTCATCAATGGTTCATGAATGGGCAAGGTTGGTTCATGAAAGGGGCAAGGTCCCAAACGTTTCTTTGACCGAGATTTTCGGTCAATTCGTTGCATCATACCCAGTGTCCGATTTTATAGGACACTGCGCCTGAGGGAGCGCTGCGAAAGTACAACACCCCTGCGCTATAGACCTACTCCTAAGAAAACATGTTTGAAGGACCTGTCACGGGCAACATCCCGGAGGTCCTGGACAACGGAGAGGTGACTGACGGCACGCACGTCACAGCAGGACAGCTGGCCCTCGCTCTGACGCCCTATGCTCAAGTAACTGACCTGGCGGTGAACACGGCAGCCTCCGGCAACAACGCCGCTGCCATCCAGTCCCTGGACGACAGAGTCACCGCAGAGCTGGCCTCAAAGCTGGACAGCAGCGCGCTGGCGCCGGCGATTGCGCCCCTAGCAACGGCTGCGGCCCTGGCCACCACGGACGGTCAGGTGGCCGCGCACGGAAGCAGCATCGCAGCGCTGCAGAGCTCGCTGACCACGGGTCTCTCCAACAAGGCAGACCAGTCGGCCTTCGACGTGCTGGAGGGCGTGGTGGCCACTAAGAGCACCCCGGACAGCGTGGACCTGAAGCTGTCCAACTACAGCACCACGGCGGCCATGAACGGCTCCATCGCCTCGGCCAACAACGCCACGCTGGCCACGGTGGCCGCCAACTACGGCCTCAAGACGGTGGTGGACCAACACTCCCTGGACATAGCGGCGAGGATCACGCCGCTGGAGGTGGACACCAAGGTGGCCAACGCTCTCCTGGGGGCCGTCACCGCCGCGGCGCTGGCCTCCGAGCTCGCAAGCCAAGACGCCTCCATCTCAGGGGCTGCAGGCCTCCAAGGCAGACGCCAGCGCCCTGACTGCTTACGCCCTGCAGTCGGCCGTGGACACTTCCTCGGAGGTGGACTCTAAGATAGCGACGGCCCTCTTGGACGCCGTCACCACGGCAGCCCTGGACGCCGCCCTCCTCGGCAAGGCGGACGCAAGCGCGCTGGCCTCCCTGCTCTCCACGGTGGACGGCTTGGACACGCCGCTGGAGGTAGACACCAAAATAGCACATGCCCTGCTGGGTCTCGCCACCGAGGCCTTCGTCGCAGCGCAGCTTGCTAGCCGGGACGCCAGCATCGCGGCGCTCCGGACGGCTACACCCTGACCCTGGCGGTGAACCCGTGGAACATCGTGCGCACCTACAACTTGACCCCGGGCCGAGAGCTCCTCTTCGCCTGCCGCTACCGGCTCGGCACGGCCTCCAACTTCGTGGTGTACATGTCCGAGGCAGACAACGTCTACGACCCCTTGTACGGCAGCTTCGTGGGCGACCAGGGTGCCTGGAGCACTGCCAAGATGTACTTCACAGTGCCTCCGAACGGGGTGGCGAAGCTGCACTTCGGGGCGCACTTCCAGGCGCCGGGCCTGCCCAACCAGACGGCTGGAACGGTGGACGTCTACGGCCTCCAGATCCTGGACGCAACCCTGGAGACCGGCAACGCGGTGGAGGCGGAGGAGGACACGGCGGCCTCGGCGCTGCTGCTGAAGCACGAGTTCCTCGACGGAGGGGCCGACGACGTCACGCTGGCCACCCTGGGCGAGGTGCTGCTGGAGCCCACGCTCACCACGCTAGGCAACTTCCTGGTGCGCTCCAACAGCCAGAGCTCCGTGGCCTCGGCCAGCTTCACGGTGGGAGGCTTCCAGCTGGAGGGCTACGCCATGACCCTGAGCGCCTTCGCCTGGAACATCGTGCGCACCTACACGCTGACGCCGGGGAGACGCTACTCCTTCGGCTGCCGGTACAGGCTGGGCACGGCCTCCAACTTGGTGATGTACGTCAGCGCGGCCGACAACGACTACGTGGGCGTCACCGGCACCTTCCTCGGCACGCCCGCGCAGGGCGTCTGGAGCACGGCCGGGCGGAATCGCGAAGCTGCACTTCGGAGCCTTCGGCGGCTCTATCCCCGGGCTGGTGCAGCAGTCGGCGGGCACGCTGGACCTGTACAGCATGCAGATCAGGGCCAGCGCCTTCGAGGGAGAGTCTGTCTCAGTAACGGACCTGCTGGCGGACTCGCTGGCCCTCACGGGCTCGGCCACGCTGGACGGCTCACCGCGCAGGGCAACGTGGGCTGCGACCAGCTGCTGTGCAACGACGTGAACTGCACGGACGTGTTCACCACGGGCGTGGACGCCTCGGGCGCAGTCTCCTGCGCTGCGCTCACAGCCACAGGCACCGTCGCCGGAGCCACGCTGTCGTCCACAGGGCGCCGTGTCAGGCAGCTCGCTGAGCATCACGGGCGCGGCCAGCGTGGGCCTGCTGAGCTCCGCCACAGGAATCACGGGCAGCACTCTCACCATCAACAACACGGCCAACGCCGGGAACTTCACCACGGTGGGCGACGTGTCCACGGGGACATTGACGGCCTCGGGCGCAGCAACCGCGGCGAGCTTCGCAGCCACCGGGGCGCTCACGGGCGCCACGCTGACCATCACCGGGGCGGCCTCCACGGGCCCGCTGGACTGCGAGAGCCTGGACTGCACCTTCACGGCCACGAGCGGCGGAGTGTCGACGGGCAGGGCACGGTCTCCGCGCCGCAGCTCTTCGCCTCCAACACGCTCATCGTGACCAACACCTCAGACTTCTCGGACGATCTCTTCCTGACGAAGAACTGGGCGGGCTGGAGCAAGCTGCAGATCTCCAACAACAGCGCGGCCCCCGACAGCGGCCCGGAGCTGCGGCTGCTGGGCAACCAGAGCGCAAGGGTCTTCCTGGAGCGGGACGGCGGGACGCACCAGTGCGAGCTCATCATGATCAACGATGAGGCGCTGGTGCAGACGAAGAGCCTCTCGACGCAGCTGTCCTTGACCACGAACCAGAGGAACCCCGGCTGCCTCGTGATCGCGGGCAACACGGGCAACGTGGTCTGCAACACGAGCTTCACGAATTTGTCGGACAGCCGGGTGAAGACGGAGATGGCCGAGGCCGACGTGGCGGAGCTCCAGCAGCTCTTCGACTCCGTGGAGGCCAAAAGCATTTCCGGGCGGCGGGGGAATTTCAAAACCACACACAACGACCAACTGCACGTCTCAGAACAAAGTCAAGAGCAAACGATTTTCCAGCCGTGCCTGGGGCTCTTTCAGCAGCTGGATCTTCTCAGCCAGAAGGCTTTGCAGGGCCCAGCGGGATTCCAGCTGCAATCTGCTCGTCCAGCGTGAGCCGCAGCAAGGATTGGCCTGTAACCTTGTTTTCACTGAGAATGCTCAGCACTCGGCCAACGCCTCTTCTGGCGTTCTCCACGGTGCCTTTGAGACCGCCAGCTCTCAGCACCGCTTCCGCCAGCTCAGAACCTCCTCTTCGCCAAAAGCCTCCACCTCCTCGCGGCTCTTGGCGAGCCAGTCCTGCCAGCACTCACCAACAACCAAGCCTGGCGCACGCGAGCCCCCAGCCTCCGCGTCGCTGTCCTGGCACCGGCGACCGGCCAAATTTGCAGCTGCTGATTAAAGCGTCCTGCTGCGGGCTGGCGCGCGAAGCAACTCCGCCACGCCCAGGGCGCCAGCGTGTCACCTCAAGAGCTGAAAATCCAGGCAGAAAAACATCACAGCGACACCGAGATCGACCTGTGGCCCGCGAGAATCCTGGTGGCACCACGCAAAACACAGCCAAGATGCCAGGAATCTGGTGTCCTTCCAGCCCGGGCGACTCGGTGAAATCCGCCCGTGAGGACATGTACCTGGGGCCACAACCAGCAAACCAAAGCACTGGAACAATGCTGCCGAGGTCTTGGCCGTGCGCAAGAAAAGCCACGAGATTGCAGTCAGGAGAATGCGGGAGCGAACACCTGACGACAACGAGTCCTAACAAGCACAAGTTGAAGCTGACCAGCCTCGGCTCCTCCTGCCCTTCGTCCTCTCCACGCCCATGGCTGCGCAGTGTTTCCCCCGTGGCTAGTTTGTGATATGATGTGGATTTGAAAGCGCGACTTTGCGCTGTGTGCGTGGACCGTCGGCAGCGCTGCTTCTGAGCGCTTCTTTGGGCCAGGCTACAAGCAAAAATGTTTTTACACATTTCGCATGGCGGGCGCTGATCCCTCAATTCCGAAACCACCCATCGCAATGTTTCCCAGCTGCCAAACATGAAGCAAGCTTATGAAATCAGGAAGCACTGAGCTCTGCACAGATGCAATCGTCGGATTTGCTGGGTCTGTGGATGTGAACAAAACCAAAAGCATTTGCGGGCCGCGGGGGATTTTCGAAACCACACGCAACGACCATCCTTCAGCAGCTGGATCTTCTTTGTCGGCAGCTCTGCAGGGCCGCGGGGAATGCCATCTTGCAATCTTCTCCAGTGATTGGATGTTGCGGGCTGGCGCGCAAAACGACTCCGGCACACCACAGGCGCCTTGTCACCTCACACAACAGCTGAGAATCTAGGCAAAAACAACAACACCAAGATTTGGACGTGCGCATTGTCCTGGCAGGCCCATGGCAACACACAAACAAGCAGCCATGATGTTAGAGGAACCCGGTGTCCTTTTGTCCACGGTGACTTGGTGTGAGGGGAGATCGTGAAAACATGCACCTGGCCCCGCAACCCGCAAACCAAAGCACTGGAAAAACATGTCACCAAGGCCTTGGCCGTTGTCCGGGATTGAGGACGGCCACACGCGCAAACCTGGCGAGACAACTCAAGCTCAACCAGCATGAACTTGAAAATGACCGGCCTCGGTTCATCCTGCCCTTCATCGTCTCCATGGCCAAAGTCACAACCGCAGTGTTTCACCGTGTCTGTATCCACTTGAGAGATGGTGACCGCATAGGATGCGCATTTGAATTGGAGTGTTTGTGATTGTGCACCCCAGGACCTGCAATTTTCATACTATCTCAAACAAAATTGTATTCCGCAGAAATGCGAATGAGACAACAATATTTTACAGCGACCCAAAATTTCATCAACTTTCAATAGTAATTACAATTAAATGAATTGCAAAATTGAGGCACCATTTGAATATAAAACTGTTTGTCCTTCGTATCACATGCTCAATGTTCCTCAACGCTAAAGAAGCTGCGCGCTCCAGACCTGAGACACATACGAAAAGCTCCACGCGACGTGCAAACAACCAATGTGTTGTGGCCCCAAAAACAATGATGCAGATCTGAAAGCAATCCGTGTTCGGTCCCTCAAAATCCCCTACGGGGGCTGTGAGGAAACCCTGAAACTTCCCTTCGGACGGTGTGAAAAACCCCCTGCGAGGCTTTGACAAGCCCTGCCCCGGAAAACTAGAAGACGGGTGGCCCGAAATCATTTTCCACGACGTGCAACTAGGACCAGGCTCTTTTTTGTCCATTCGCCGAATGCAATTGTCTGTTCCTTCGGCGGATCGCGCTTTGCGATCGCAAACCCTAAGCAAGCAAGCACTCTAGTGACAGAGGGTAGCGCGCAGCAGGCACGGAAGCCATCTACCCAAGAAGAAGGCCTTCTTCACGCCGCGCACGGCTCGTTGGGCGCGCGCGCCTGCTGCGGACAGCAGAACTTGTCCTAGCAGGGCTGCGACTTCTGGGCCGCACGGCACCGCCCTCGCTCCAAATTCCTCGAGGGGGTTCAACATCTTGGATTGCAAGGGCTTGCGCTCGCTCCCAGGTTATGCTCTTCCTCCGCCACTTTCTCTTTCTGCTCTCTCGTGGCTTGCTTTCTCCGTGCCCAACAAATACCTGAGCGTTTGCTCTGCCATGCGAAGTTCTGTTCGGTTGTGGAGGATGCTGTCTTGGCTGTAGCCGGTGCTCTGCAGGATGAAAATCGCGAGTCGAAGGACGCATGGCCCCGCCGCCTATGGGACCAAGGAGGCGCTTGAAAGCAAAGAAGCCGGCTTGTCGAAGGATCTCGTCCGCATCGGCCCTGGCCGGCTCCGCCATGCTGAGCGCAGCACAGAAGTCAAAGTTATCTCAAACAAACATGCACGCACATGTATGCAAAGACAGTGTTTCGATGCGCCGCTGCGCAAGCTGCCGGATGGTTCCTTGAGACTCACAGAAACAGCAATGCGCAGACAGCTGGTCGGGCATCAACAGAACATGAAACAGACCGCCAAGCAGAGCAAATGCAAGGAGACAGTGATGCATTTCTTTCCGCGAGAAGCGCTGTGTGATTAGCTGTGGCAATCAGCTGGATTGTCCGCACAGTCCGCGTCAATTCCAACTGCCTTCTGCAGCAAAAACTCTACAGTCCTTGGCTCTGGAAGAAACCCTCCACGTCGGGCGGCAAAACCTTGTTAGTCTTCGCAGCCCAGTCGCGCGCCGATTTTTGCGATCTCCTTGTGATCGGCAGCCACACTGCGCGCGAGAATGATTCGAAGCTCGGCTTGGAGAAGAAGCTGCAGTACCTCTTTCTCTACGCAGCGGAAGCCCGAAGTCTGACTTGCGTGCGGCACTACGTTGAAGTAGCACGCGTAGACCCCGGATGTAGTCTGTGCTGCGCGCAGTCGCAGACTGCCCTTGGCTTCCGCGTGGAGGTTGAGGAAACTGCGAGGAACCAGAGCTCGTGCCACCAGCTGGACCATGTTGGCCATCAGCACCAGTCCTTGCACCCACACCCGTTTGCCAGAAAAAAGAACATAATTTGCACGCACGCACAGACCCGCAAGAAGCGCACACACAAACGCACACACATACACACGCACACACACACACACACACACACACACAAACCAACAGAAAAATGCAACCGCGCGCACGCATGCACGCACATATGCACGCAACAGCTTCTTGGGCACGTGCCCTGCGCGCAAGTTGCTCTGCGCAAGTTGCTCTGCGCAAGTGCTTTGTGCACTTGCTCTGCTCAAGTCGCGCTGCGCAACGTGCTCTGCGCAAGTTGCTCTGCGCACGCCGACCCCCGCAGAGGGTTTATCCGGGAGAAAACACAAAAAACCTTGAGTTTTTGCACCTCGACCACGCCGATCTCCTCTTTTTTTTGCCCCGATGCAGCAAACCGTGTCAGGCACGCGTCTGCTCCAAGCAATGCGGTGAAAGCAAATGAAAGAAACAAACATCAGGATCCCGTGTCCGTGCTCCAAGGTGAGAAGGAACGACAACTTCCGCCTTTGGCCAATGGCCTGAGTCGCGTTGATGAACGCAGGCAGCTCCTGCAGACAGCGCGACTTCCCCTGTCCAGCACCAAAAACACGGTGTGTGTCTTTTTGTCGGAGCCGTGTAACGGAGACCTTTGGCGAGCTCTGTCTTCAGAGACCCGACCTCGTGAATGCGTACACCAGTACAGCCACTTTGACTCTCCTCTCCTTCTAGCTGTTGATGCGTCCGTTCAAAAAGCAGTCTTTCAATGTCAGGCAGCTTTATGCCAAAAAAGCCGAGACGAGGGAGTCCTGAGGAAACATTCTTAGGATAAACAAACAGTAACAACTAATCAAACACGCATGAGCAATTTGGCGAAGACTCTGTAATCAGACCCTGTAATCAGACTTCCCTGACGCTGACTCTGGAACGCTGGCGACTTTTTCCACAGGAGCAGCAGCCGCAGCAGCTGTCCAGACGCGCGACTTCTGTTGCTGTTACATGCACATGAGTCCTGGAGGGATCCATTCATCGATCTGCTTTGTCCGGACTGCGCACCTTCTGCTGTTTTGAGTCTTGGCGTAAATTACGTAGGTGATGACCACTTCCTGGACATTGATCTCCATTGGCCACTCCGATTCATAGTTTCTTGATGCCCTCGCAGTGGCAAAGATTGCACAAATTCTTGTGCAATTTGCTGATTTAGCCCAATCAACACCAGTCGTGTTTGCGAAGTTCATAAACTCCCTAATTTCCTTCCACTCTTGGGTTGTATCAGTCTCTGGGTATTTACTCTGAACCAAGGTCATGGTGTTGCCGTCAAATCCGATGCTGTCCACACCCCGCTCCGTATCGCTCTCTGCAAGACACACACGAGATTTCCTGTCTCTTCTGAATTCTATCGCTGCTGCTCTAGGATCGCAGGGCAGGTCGTAGGGAAAGCCATCCATGTCAATGGCCACTCGCATTGCGCAAAGTGCCTCGAACGCCTTCGAACTCCAGCGGCGGTCTGTGCCAGTGGGATTTTCGTGTCGCAGGTGTTTGAAACGCTCTGGGCGATCCAACTGCATCAGCAGGTTCAAGAAGAATGGGTACGGTACCGTCACCCGGACTGTCGCCCGTGTCCTCTCAATGAAGGCTAGGCCAAGTTGAAAAAAGTCCTGGAACTTGGATTTGGGAACTATGCTTTGCAGCAGCACAGCCTGAACCAATGCAAAGCAGGCTGGCCGCACTGTCTCGTTCAGCAGGGCGTCTTCATGTTGACGGACGCGGTCGCATGTGAGCAGTGGACCAAGTCCACCGGCCTGCCGTTGCATGAAGCAGTGCAACTGGACCAGCAACGCTGCATGACCTCCGCAGGCACTGATGGCAAGCCGGGCTTGCAAGCCAGTGATATTCAGGCCTCAGGGAAAGCACAGGACGCAATGCGCATGCAAGTGTGATGCTCCCATGCTAGCTGCTGTGTCGAAACGAAGCACATGCACATCATGTCCTCCCCCCCAACAGGTAGACTCTGCACCGGTCAAGGAGTCAAGGCCAAGCCTGGAAAGAACTTCTTGGAGTCTTCAAAGCTGAATGCAGCAAGGTTCTTGTGTTCCAACTGTATGACAGTCGGCTCCGGATTCCATACCACCGGCGCAGTGTGCGTAATGACCGGCACCACCAATCCCAAAGGATTCGGCCCACAGTTGTATTCAGCCAACAAGTTCACGAAGTCTTTGAGTCGTCTGTCATTGAAGCCACGCTTCAGCAGAAAAGCGAGCTCATCCACATGCACAACCAGGATGCTTTTGTTTGCTGAGCCGCTTGTGAAGCTTTTGAACACGGCATCAAGCACAATAGTGACTGTCAAGCCTTTTAGCCATTCTTCCCCCCCACGAAAATAGTCTGGGTCGCACTGCAGAAGTCCTCGGGTAAATAAGAGTGTCGCCATGATTTGTTTCAAGGAGAAGCCCTTCTGCTCAGAAAGATACTCGGTTTCTGTGCCATCAGTTCCCCCACCAGTCCCACCGTTGAAGTTCAGCCCTATGCGAGAAACCGCGTACGGTTGGAAGCTTTGGTTCCTTTTCAGTAAACGTTCCACCTCAAAGCCCCAGCGTGACTTGCCAGCGCCACTCATCGTGGCATACTCCAGCAGCGGGCTGTTTGCTTTGATCAAAGAGCCATTGCGACTCCGATCTCCCAACATCTTGGAGACCCTATTCAGAAACTCCTGGGACTCCAAAGGCCGAGCCTGAAACTCGCCATCGTCGGGCTCACCATGAATGCTGGCAGGCACTTTGTCTTTCAGGTCGCCTCGAAGGCGTAGCAAGCCTTCCACTGTCTGCTCTGAGTTCGCCATGATGGCCAGTGGGGCCTGCAAAACGGATGTGTGAAGGAAATAGCCACTGCCAAAGGACAAACAACGCACGGCCACGCAACTGTTTGATGGTTTTGCGCGCCACTAACCATTCACACCAAATCAGGCAAATATGAGCGGGTACATCAAAAGTAGAAGGGAATGGCAGCACAACGGGCCAAACCATCGAACAGGAACTGTGCCCGTGGATGCAAAGCCGGGAATGCTTGAGCTCACTGCATCAAACAGAACATTCACAGAATGCACTTGGGCCTTCAGCAGCAAGGACCCCAATGGGTGCAGAGACATAAAGACATCAGAGTTTGCCCTCCCTCTCCCCGACGGCAGAAGGGCAGGTCTTGCTCTTTGAAAAGCAAGCTGAAGGCAATGACAAAATCACTCACAAGGATCAACGGCACGTCTCAATCAATGTCGACCAGCAGGAATGACCGACCCCCAACGAGGAAAGGCAACCATCCGTTCATGGGGGCTCCATACCGAGCCTGCCAACGACACGAACCGCCGCAATCTGCAAAAATGCTATCTTGGGATTTCCTGGTTCTCTGGATGCGATCAGGGCAGCCCCACCAAAACCATGTGCGGGCCGCGCGGGGAATTTCAGAACCGCACGCAACGATCAGAGTCCCAGAACGCAGCCGGCCGGCGGAAGCGACCGACTCCGCCCGCCTCGGACTCCTTCGTCCGGCCGCTTGCCTTCGCCGCCTGCACCTCCTTCTTCGCCCTCTCCACCTTCCTCTCCGCCTTCTCCACCTCCTCCTTGGCCTCCTTGACCTCCTCCTTGGCCTCCTTGACCTCCTCCTTGGCCTCCTTGACCTCCTCCTTGGCCTCCTTGACCTCCTCCTTGGCCTCCTGCACCTTTGTCGCATTGCCCGAGTCCTCCGCCGTCTCCAAGACGGTGGCAGCTCGAGCGAGACGCCTCACCGCCATCGCTTCCTGCTCCTGGGCGCTCTCAACCTGCCGCTGGGCGCTCTCAACCTGCCGCTGAGCGCTTTCAACCTGCCGCTGGGCAGTCTCAACCTGCCGCTGGGCGCTCGCTTGCTGCTGTCGCGCCAGGAGCAGGTCCTGCCCAGCAAGACTCACACGCCGAGCAGCAGTGCGCTCGGACGGACGGCCTCTTCCAAGGCCTTTAGGGCTGCCTCGACAAACATGCAGCACACAGAATGTCACGAAAGCGCTTGTGAATCTGACCTGTTGGTAAAACAAGCAAACACTCCTGCCTCTGCCACAAACTTCTTTAGCTGCTGCTTTAACTCAGGCTTAGTCGCCAAATCATTCCACTTCCCTGGATCTGTCAGCTGCACTTTTCCTGAGCTCAAAATTTCACCACGCCTGCTGCAACCAATGTGCTGCTAAAGCGGCGCATGACCACTTGCATGTCTTTCAGCGTGCCGTTGTCCACAACCCGTTTGGCTTCTGCGACCACCTGAGCGAGACAAGGCTGGGACGTCGCTTTCTCTGAAGGCCCGCCGCCTCCTCGAGATCGAGCCGGTCCTGACAACCAACAAGCCCAACGTTCAAGCCCGATGCACGTGTCCCCCAGGCCTGGCCACTGTTGTCCTGGCGGCAACCGGCAAAAGATGCGAACAGGCTTCGGGTCGGAGGAGTCCTCTTGCGCAGCCCCGGCGCGCCGAGCGACTCCGGCATGCAACGGGTGCCGTTTTGCCTGAAAGAGCCAAAGTGCAATCTGCTTGCGCCTGCGGGCAACTCTGAGAACTGGGCCAACATGCTGTCCTGGCACTCAGCACGAAACAAGAACATCCAAAGGAGGGACTTCATGCTCCTTCAGCCCAGGAACTCCTCGAGCAAAGTCCTGGGCGGCGACAAGGGACTCCTGAAACCCGAAAACCTTCGAAAAACATGTGTCCCAAGACCCAGGCCGTGCTCGGCTGCACGAGCAGCGCCAATGCAATCCCGAGAAGGCAGAGGCACATACCTGGCCGCTGCCTACCGCGGGCACGGTAGCGTCACAAGCTTGCCAGCCTCGGCTTTTGGTCCTGGTCCGCATCATCGCCATGGCTATTCGAAAAGCGCTTGAGCGGCCTGCGATTCCTCAAGCACTGGCACTAGACCCATCGGGCAACCATGCGAGCTGTTGTTGTGTCAGTGTTGATGAGTACCCTCGAGCCAAGTTTCCAGAGCAAACACAAGATTGACTGGCTTCTTTGGCAACACCAACGCACGGGTTTGGATGCTCCTCCTCCTTTTCACTCGCGGCCTGAAGGTCGGTCGGGCCAAGCCTTGCAAGGCTTCGCAGCGTCCATCCGTCAGACTGGCTGACCCACATCCTGCCGCTGCATCAAAGTCCAAGCGAGATACCAAACTGGCCTGCCTGCAAAACAAGCAGCCGAAATCGGCACCGGGCCGCCAGGGGCTGAAGGGCGGGGGTTTCTGGGGTCCTGGGATCACTGGGGCCTCTGGGGTCCCTGATTCCCTAGGGTCCCTACATTCCCTAGGGTCCCTCCTAAGGTCCCTAGGGTCCCTAGAGTCCCTGGGGTCCCTGCACACGTGTGCATCAGACGTCTCGCCAAGGCCCCAGAGTGCGCTCATCCCTGTCAACGCACGGCGGGTTCAGGGACCTTGGGGACCTTAGGGACCTTAGGGACCTTAGGGACCTTAGAGACCTTAGGGACCCCTTAGGGACCCTAGCAACCCTGCAAACCCTACCCTAGGGACCCTAGGGACTCCGAGGACTTCAGGGACCCAGCGACCCAGGGACTTCAAGAGATCCTTGGTGGCCCCAAGGATTTTGGGGCTTGAAGGGATCTTGGCAAGAACTTCACGCCGGGTACCACTCAGCCTGGGCATTCTCCAGCATCAAAGGGTCATGCAAAAACACAAAATGCCGAAGCCAAGACACACACACACACATTGCAAATGGGCCACAACACCACAACATCATCTCCCAACTACAAACACGGATGTAGAAAACACCATGTAGAGACATACCAACATAAAGGCACAAAGACATAAAGATATAAAGATATAAAGAGAAAGGTATAAAGATACAAAGATATAAAGATATGAATTTGTAGAAATACAAAGATATAAATATATGAAAATTCATAAAGAGATACAAATACGTAGAGATATGAAGATAAAAATGTATGAAAATAAATAGATATGAGTACACGAAGATAAATAGGTGTATGGCAAGTTGCTCGAATGGAAAAACAACAGAAGCTTTGCCCTTCCGCGCGTCTTTGTGGCAAGCTGCAACCAACCGAAGCTTGAGAGATGACTTCACACTTCACGGGATCTCTTGCCCCCAAGACCCAGGGTTGCTGGGGTCCCTGAGGTCCCTGGGGTCCCTAAGGTCCCTTAGGGTCCCTAGGGTCCGTAAGGTTTCTGGGGTCCCTAAAATCCCTGAAAACGCCGTGTGTTGACAAGGATGGATGCACTTTGGGACCCTGGCGAGACGTCTTGATGGAAGGACGTTGTTTCATGGCACCCGCGTGCCCAGGGACCCAGGGACCCCAGGGACCCTAAAAAACCCCAGGGACCCTCACTGGGTCAAAGATCAAGGGGGCTGACAGATTGGTGACAAAGATCAAATGACAATAACCTGCACTGGACCTCTTGGCCATGACAATGGAACGCGGCGAGGGCCCGGGCGGAACGTGGAGCTCGAGGCGCAAGCTCAAAAGTTCGGAGTGCCTGAGCGCCAGGAAAAAAAAGCGATTTTGAGGAAACCACACTGCCTGACTTACAAAAAACCTGACGGTACGACTTGACGGGGTTGGGGCAATCGCTCTCAAGGTCAAGGGTTCACCAGGTTGGAGAGACAATACAAAATGCGGGCCTGGCTCAACGAGGTCACGATTTCCAAAGATACACGGGCCTGACGGCGCGGCTTGACGGGGTTGGGAAAAGCACACAAAAAAGCAACGCAAACCACTTGGGCCTCACCGGTTGGGCCCAACCCTGAAAGCTCAGTTGAAATCCGCGCATCAACACTGACGGCGCAATCAGCAAAAAGGCCCAGGCAGAACGTCTTCGAAGTCGCGCAAATCCTGGCACGGGACGGGGGGGGGTGTCCGGGCCTCGCTAGGCCAAAGATCAGGGGGCCTGACAGATTGGCGAGTTGGGACCCAAACCTCAAAGATCAGTTGGCATTGATGGCCATGACAACGGAAGCAGCGAAGGCTCGGGCAGTATGCCCCGATGTCAAAACAAAGCCTGGCACGCGAAAACACGACCTTCAAAATCCAGGACCAAACCTGAAACACTGCTCAAAGGCCGAGTTGACACCAATCCGCACAGGTGCCCAGCCAAAGAGTCCCCAGTAGCACGAATTGGATCCACCTGCAAGCGGCCAACAAAAAGTTACAAAAAGGCAACTCGCGGCGCTGCGAGAAGATCTGCACGTCGAAGTCTGGGCACAGGGCACGTGAGGTCAAGAAAAACTGTGAGTCTGAAACCACGCCTTTGCACCCGCGAGCGGTTCCCGCCCCGTACCCCAGAGTGTCCCCGAATCTCGCCTTCACAAGGCTCACGTGCTTGGGGAAGCTCTTTCCAAACACGACCGACAACGTGAAAATCGTGAGAAAAACGCAACACCGGCAACCTGTCATGCAAAATCACGCCCAAAAACCATGCAAACCTGAATTTACGGAAAAACAAACAAAAACGTGTTTTTTTTCCGGAAATGGCGGCCCTCGAGCCGCTTGAGCCAGGGCCGTCCCTTTGGTCGGACCATTTTGTTGTCCGCCCTATAGGAAAAGGACCGGCAAGCAAAAGTCCCGAACCATCGCCACTAGCTTCGCCCTGGGCGAGGTGCACACGAGCCCCAAGGGCGCCATCGTCTGGCAGTCCGCGTGGACTCACGTCCTCTGGAGCCCAGCAGCTTCGGCGAGGACCAAGGACCCAGGCAGAACGCCTGCCTTGCGATGGAAACGGATTCCGAGGTCTGGGCGGCCTGGGAGGAATTCGAGAAGCTGTCTTCGCGGTCGAGCCGCATTTGGGGCGACTACGGCGATGTGAAGGACAGGTGGCAGAGCTGCCTCAAGGAGTCCCGACAGGGAGCGACCTTCCTGAAGTGCAAACTGGACGCGCGGAACAAGGCTGACAGGCTGCGTGCGCGTCAAGGCCTGGCAGGTCTGGATTATGGGCAAGCAATGCGGCCTGGTGGAGGTCCGCGACCTGCAGGTGAACCCCGGCACGGGCGGGGACTCTTGCCCCTTCTAAAACTGCGTTCTGTTTATCGTGGATGTCAGACGTAAGCGAACGCGCCCGTAACTGACCCCGCGAGGCCCCGGGGCACCCAGGGTTAGGGGGCCTAGCAGACTTGGGGGGCCGGTTCGGCAGCAGGCTCAGCTCCTCAGCTCGTGCTGGTTGAGCCTCCAGCAGCAGAGCAATTGCATGTTCACACCAGCGCTGATGGCCTCAGCTTCTGGAGCTCACCCAGGTGCTAATCTGCATGCGACGGCCTCGGATGAAGAGCGTGCCCTTAACCCGCTCCTGCTGAGAGTGACGCGGGAGGTAGACGGGTGCAGCGTCAGCTGCAAGTCCTGCCCAAAGTGCGGAGGCGCAGTCTTCGGGCAGTGGCGGTATGCCACGTGGGGCGGCTTATTGGCCGCCGTCGGAGCGCATGCCTGCTAGGGAAAAAAGAATATAAGGGATCCCTAAAAAAAATCTTATAAGAAATGCCCCTCGCTTCAGCCCGGGATGCTCTGCCGATCCGCAAGCTCTGCCGTGGCCGCGCTCGCAATCTCCTCGCACAGCGCCGTAGGAATGCTATAAAGCAGCTCGCGCGACTGCCCCCTGACCCTCTCACGCTGACCCCCCCATGAGTCGAGGCCCCCCTTGAGCGCCCCTCAGATGCCTCCCGTCCTCCCACGCGTCGCACCGACTGCCGCTCCTGCACAGCCCTCGGCTCGGTCTCCAGCGCATGTTGGTCCACAGTCGGGTCTGCTTCCTGTACGGAGTCCCGTCCATGCAGTAGGTGACGTCCACCCAGGGTAGGCGCTCCATGAACGGGCGGGTCTTCAGCAGCCCGGTGGCCGGATTCTCTATGACCCACATGAGCGGGTCGAAATGCCCCATGATCTCGAGGGCTCTGAGCACCAGCGCGTCGCCCTCCTCGAGTCGTCGAGGGCGCATCGTCAGAGCTCGGCTGTACTCCGTGCAGACCGGGCTGGCCCAGACCATGTCAAAGTGCCCCGGCGGAAACAGCGCGTAGTCCCAGCTCCGGATGTCGCACAGGATCGTGGGCTCAAATTTCGATACGATGTCCAGGGAAACGACCTCCCACCCTGCCGCCTCGAAGGCTCTGCCAAACGACTTTGTGCCGCAAAACAGCTCCAGCAGTCTCGGCATGTTTAACAATTACCACCAGCACAACAAAGCACGCACAGGCAAGGGCGCGGCTCAAGCAGTTTCGCATGCTCGGACCAATCTTTTTTTAATCGGGGACAGAAAAGGATGACGGGCCAGGCTAGCATGTGGAAGTTGGGCGAGGTGCGCTCCAATGCTAAGGGTGGCAAATTCTTGTGCTTGGAGCCGCTGTTTTGGCAGAGCGAAGCTTCGCTGGAAATCCCATGGGAGCCCAGGGCCTTCTCCGAGGGGCAGCGCCCCAGCGTGAGCTTTGCAACCGATGAGCGCGCGAGGCTCTTCTGGGAGCGGGCCGAGACCGATCTGGTCGAGCAGCTGGCGGCCGCATCCGAGCGCGTCTTCGACGCAAAGCTCACGCCCGAGGCTGTGCGCCAGCGGCTGCTGCCCTCTGTGAGGCAATCGCGCGGCGGCGATTGGATGCTGAAAGCCAAGCTGCCGGCCCACGCGCGCTTCTGGAACGCCGGCGGCACGTTTGCGGACCGCCCCGCCGAGCTGGCTCACTGCGCCGCGCGCGTTAGGCTGAGAGCTCGCAGCTTGTGGTTGATGAGCGGCATGTGCGGGTTGAGCCTTGAGGTCACAGATCTGCGTGTGGAGCCACCTTCT